GGGTCCGCTAGTGCTTCCCCCCGCCCCCGCGCCGGCAGCGCCGCCCGGCGCCCCCCCGGCCCGCGGCCGCCATGCCGAGCACGAAGCAGACGCGGCTGCTGCACCTCGACGAGATGGAGAAGCTGGACAAGACCCTCTTCAGGCTGGAGCAAGGTGGGCGCCGCGGGCGCAGGAATTTACTATCAAACTGATGTGCTATAAGAGTTAATATATTGGCTCCTTGTTTGTGTAAATAAAAACTATTTTTAAATGTTTTCACAAGTTTCTTTTTAATCTAAAAAAATAATGCTAGTGTACAAACTGCAGAGTGAAACCTGATCTCTGTTGTTGACTTTGAGTTATGTAAGTTTTCTTGGACAGTCACACAAAAGTGCAGGGATTTCAGACGTCAAAGTTATTCTGCTTGTAGCAGCGTCGGAGAGACCACATGAAATTTGAGCACCGCATTCCCGATGTCAGTATAACTGTTACAGGAAATAAGATATCAGTGGCATATATCCCTGTACTCTAATTTTAGAAATCTCTACAACAAAATGTCAAGACATTACTGGAGAGAATTGTGCTCACCTTCCAAAAGGCTTTTTTTTTAGTTTTCATGTAAAATTTCTGCAGTCAAGTGATCTTTATTTTACCTGAAAGAAATTCAGATCCTAAAAACACTACTGTTTTGCATGGCTTCTTTGATGCAGCGACAATTATGTCAACAAGAGAAACTATGAGCTTGTTGAACTTAAATATTTAAATATACTCAGGCAGCTGAACTCTGATATTAGAGCTGCTATGATTCTAGCTCTTAAGCAACTTCCCTCCCGCCCCCGTTTAGGACCATGGAACTTTTGAATTCTTTTAGAAATAATTATTTTGATTACTTACTCTTACAAATGCACCAGTTCTCTTATTCAGAATTCCAATTTGTAGACTAGGCTAGGCAATTACATGAATGACATGTAATTTAGTAAAAGCTTTTGTGCAAACACTTAAACATCTACCTGTTCCAGTCATTTGAAAATATACTGCAATAATTTAGCCGTGTGCTTGATGAAGGCCCTCATATGTGCAGGTGGAAGTGTTTCGCAAGACCTGCTGACTATGCTTAATTCTTTATTTCAACAGAAATGACTGCAATACAATTTTATTCCTAATGTTATAAGTGTATTCTTTCTATTCTGCTTATCTTAAACCTAGATGCTGCTCTTTCTATGTGTGCATGAGCTGCAGGACTTGCACAGGCTCTGCAGAGTTCAGTGATTCAAAGGAAAATGTAGGAGTTTATTTGTATGCTTTAGATACATGCAACTAAACATGATGTTACAGTTGAAAAGCATACATTTGGAAACCTGAGATTTACCCTTAAAAAAAAAGCGTATATCTGCATAGGATTGTGTGTGGTTTGGTGACCATAATCTGCTGTTTTTTATTTTTAAGACTTTTATATGGAAAAGGGAAACAAAATGGAAAGAGTTCCATGTAAGTAAAGGAAAAGGCGTATGTGTAAGCTGTCAGATGTGCCCAGGAAAAGGATAGGAAAACAGGGAAAGAAGATCATGTAGAAATATACCATCCTGCAAAAGTTCTTGAAAGATATATTGGTGCCTTTTTTTCTTAACATAATATCAAATTATGAACTGTTGCTGCAGAATTAAAGACATCCTCCTGATGTCTTTAATTTTTCTTCTTTAGGTTTTGAACTACAGTTCCGACTGGGCCCAACTCTTCAAGGCAAGCATGTTACTGTGTACACTAACTATCCAGCTTCTGGAGAAGTGTTCGATCGACGCAAGTTCAGGACATTATCATGGCACAATCCTACAGGAAAAGAAGATGACTCTGACAAATATTGCAAACTGGATCTCCAGATTTCTGGGTCTTATCAGTATTATTTCAGTCTTGGGTAAGAGAAAATTTATACATCTTGACAAATGTAGTCTGCTCCCTATTTCTGCATGCATTTTAGTCCTGAAGAAATACTATTAAGAATAAAAGCATTTTTTTTTCCAATGCAAAAGTGAGACGTATCTAAATCTCATGACATCCAAGGTTTGGTGGTTGTCTGATGTTGGAAGGGCAAACCATTTTTACAAAATTTCAAAGTAATCTGCATTCTAAATATCTGAAGGGTTAATTTTTGCTCTCTTCATTGGCCAGGCAAGGCATTGGGGGATTTTCTTTTTCTCTCTCCAGGACAGATGTTCTTCACAGTACTCTTGTTTCAAGAGGGTAAGATAATAGCAGTGTCTGTAATGGCTATAATCTAATGTTGTGAGCTTCTAAAAGATAGGAGCTGATAGTTAAATTCCCTTAGGCTAAAGAGACTTCTTAGCCCAGGTCTCTCTCTTAGATGGATGATTAAATATAAGTCTATAATTGAAAGATGGGCAGTCATTTTTTCTTTGTTTGCAGCCATTTTCTAAAAGCAGGAATCAGTACCTTGTCTCCAAGACAATACCAAAGGCATCTCACTTAAGAGAGAGTTTAAGCTTCTGTACTTTAGTTGTATTCCTTCAAGCACTGATGTAAGTCCAATGCAGAGATGGTCTTAAGATGCATGTCTCTGCAGCATTTCTATTCTGTTTAGAACACCTCTGAGTAGCCTTTGGTATTTTTGAAATAGATGCATTTGTGAGCTTCTGTTTCTGAAGCTGACTGGTATTTCCTATATTAATGACAATTTCATTAATTTTTCCCAGAAATGAGAAAAGTGGTGGAGGTTACATAGTTGTGGATCCTATTTTGCGTGTTGGAGCTGATAATCATGTGCTACCTTTGGATTGTGTCACACTCCAAACATTCCTTGCTAAGTGTTTGGGGCCCTTTCATGAATGGGAAGATAGACTTAAAGTTGCAAAAGAAACAGGTAATATCAATATACATACTAAAGGAATTTTTTTTTAAAAATGTGGTTTAAAAAAAATAAACCAAAATTGTATGGAGTACCTTCAATGTAAACAGTTTGTTTATTGCCTATTTTGAAGTTTAAATATTTCCTACCAGGTTCAACAAATTCAATAGTTTAAGTCAGTGAAACAATTACAATAGTTTAGTAAATGCAATAATTTGGATTTTTCTTGTATAGGAAATCACTCATTTTATTGACTAGATTTTGAATGGATCTAAAAGTTTATAGAATTGAGACTGTAATTTTTTTTTTTTTAATACAAGTATTATGTAGAATATTGGTGGGAAGACTCAGAGTAATTTACACATATTACTTCAAACATTATCTTTTAATACTTTTTATGATTATAATTTATTATTCTTTTGGCAGTTAGCTTTTACTGAAATTTATTTTTCTTGTTACTTAGGTTACAATATGATTCATTTTACGCCACTTCAGAAACTGGGACTATCTAGATCATGTTATTCGTTGGCTGATCAATTAGAAGTAAACTCTGAATTTTCAAGCCATAATAAAAAGTGCACTTGGAGTGATATAGGAGCTCTTGTGGAAAAAATGAAAAATGAATGGAATATGCTTTGCATCACAGATGTAGTCTACAATCATACTGGTAAGATTTCCTCGTATGTGTTAATAACCAGATTAGTCTGGTGATTATATTCCATTATTTCCTTAATCTTGATCCTCTTTTACATCTGTTATGGAGACATATCTGCTAAGAAGGCAAAAAAGAATTCTGTATTGTTGAAGAGTGGTTAGAAGTCTTCTCAGAGGGCATTCGTGACTGTTTTTCAAAGTATTGTGCTTATTTCTATGATCTGCAGTGTGCAGCTTGCACATAAATGTATGGCATCTGTTTTACAAATTTGTATTGTAGAAAAACTGTATAACTATTCTTATAACTAATTACTCCTGTGGAGAAGAGCATGGTAATGAATAACAGAAAATAGAATGTGGCAAAACTTTTTAAAATTATTTTTAAAAAATTCCCAGCCTCCTTTTTGGCACAAGCAAATATTTTTTTTTTGTCTCCTCATTTGCTCTTTTACAACTTTTTGCAGAGACAAATCGTAAGCATTTTGAATAGCGCTATTTTACTAGTCATAAATATTCATGATATGTAAGACTAAGAAAGCGACATTGAAGATCAGGGGATGTTGAAAAGGAGATGGTGAGCCTGTGTACCTATTTTTTTTCTTTTATTCTAATGGATTATTACACTATTTATTACTTCTCTGAACTGTTTAAAAAAAAAGAGAGGGGGAAGAAAAGCTCTCAGACTTGTTTGAGGATACTGAGTGCACAGAGTGGAAAGAGTTATCAGGTATGTATAGAAAATAGGGAGGGAATGTTGGGTTATCTGCATAGTATTGGAAATAACTTCAGGGAGTATCTGACCTAAGTGAAATCCTCATAAGAGAAATTCATTAGTTTCAAAAGCAAAGTTGGTTTCAGTTAGTTAATTAGTTTCAGCTAGTTTCAACAAACAAAACAAAAACAAAAGCCAAAAAAACAGCTGGGCACTTGGCACTTCTGTATTCTGTGCTAAGAGTAGGTGCTGTTCTCTATATAGTCTCCTCTGCATCTTGAAAAGCATCTTTGCCTTTAGGAGCAGCTTTCTAGATGGAGTTCTGCATGCATATTTAAATTCAGCTTACTAAATATTATTTAAACTCATGGTAAGTTCCAGGGCATTTTGTATTTCAGAAGATCTTAATTTTGTAGATTTTATTTCAGGTAAATATTCCAATGAATAAAATAATGAGAAGTAACAACTCAAATTTGGTTATAGCAAGGAAATAATAAGCAGAATAGGGACAGAACACTGATTAAGCAAGGGAGAAAAAATATAAAAAATATAAATCATTATAGGGGGAAGAAAAGGTGAATAAAGAGGTTTTGTGTTTTGTTTTTGTTTTTTATATTTTCCTGTAGATATGCCAGTGTTTTAAAAGCTTTTTTTCTCCTAGCTATTCATAGCTAAAGTAGGGTGGTGTGGAGTTTTTGTTTGTTTGTTTTTACTTCAGTATGCTGTGATGAAGTTATAAATGAAGAATTCTCCTATTGTAAAGTTAGCCAGCTCAGCGTAATTCAGTGGTTAAGCCAAGGTGCTTGATTTTTGCACTAGAAAAGCAGTGAATGATTGGACTGTATAGAAGGCTGGAATTATGTTTTGTTGTTAATGTTAGTCTATAAAATAGAGAATAAAAAAAAGTCAATGACTGTCCTAAATTTAAAAATAGTGGTAAATTATATGTGCATGCTAAATATAGGTACACCTTTGGCATGTTGTAGGGAGATCATTCATAGATTATAGATGAGCTTGAAAGCCTGGGTAACTGGGTAGATTTACACTTTCTGAGCTGCTGCTTCTTTCAAAGTATCCAAACAAAATATTATGTTCATCAGCATTTACTTTTCAGTAATAGGAAGGAAAATACAAAGTACTTTTTTTTCCCCCCTGAATTTTCAATAACTTTATAAATCATAATTTCTGTATCTTTAAGAAGAGGCATCTTCTTAAGTTAACTTAATAACTTGGATTAAAATAATGAATTTTATTTTTAGAATTGTATTTACTGATAGAAGACCTTTGTCTTCTTGAATCATAGTCCTGGCTCAGCTGAACAGAGTAAAGTTTTCTCTTTTTTGGAGAAAAGTTTTTTTCAGAGTAGCATTTGTATTAAAAAAGAAAACAAGAGAGATCTGATTGGCTAAGAATAGGCTTTAATAGCCTCAGCTTTATGTAGCTTGCAAATCAGTAAGATGCTTTTAGTTGCAGATGGCAGAATTCCATGTTTATAAGGTCAAACCATTTGTGGAAATTGAGATCCTCATGCCATGCCCTTAATGGTCTTGAGATGTAATATAGGAGGGTGTTTAGAAGAGCTATTCATACTGGAGGCTGAGCAAGTACACTCTTTTCTTTCCTTTTGACATTTTTGTTTGAACTTCTTTGAACAAAGCAAAGTTGTTTTTCACTTCTTAATTGTTCTGCAGTTGTAGGCGTGTTAATGACTCTTTCCGTTACCTCTTTTTGATAATGTAACTCATTGAATACTTTCTGTGAGTTTGATCCTATTGTTTTTCTTGTGTTTTTCCAAAACAATAGAATGATGAGACCTGTTTTATAAAAAGTGTCCAAAATTTCAAAAAATACCTGAAAGTAAAATTTGAATAGTGTTCTTTTTTCGTTCACATCTCCTCTTTAACATTTCGTTTTTTAAATTCAGGGTTTTGAAAGAATTTAGGGAAAGTATTTTCTGATTACCTACATGTTTAGGGCAGTTTCATAAACAGAGAAATTAACTTGTTGAGTTTTTTGTTGTATTTTAAAAAATAAAATATTCTCTGCCTTATATGTATTTACCTATGTTGCTGTCTGTACCACTGTCTGTAATTGCAATACACCCATTTGCAAGTGAATACTCTTTAACTTCTTTGAGTTAGTCCCTACTATTCAACACAGTCTAATTTTTGGGGGAGGTGGGGGGGCTGCTTTTTCATCTGCTGTTTGGTGCTGTAGGGACAGTTTAGAAAACAGAGATATTAGAGTAGCATCTGATCTGAAAGTGTTAGTGTGCACCCGTCTCCCTGTGTGAGATACATTTAAGCACATGTTTCATTAGTTGTTTCATGTTTGTGACATCTTGAGGTTACAAACATAAAATAGCTTAGGCACCTTAAATCTTGGTACGGAATGTACGTTTAGTCTTGAACACATCCAAGGATTTCACAAGCATTGCTTGATATATTTCCTGTAACAAAAATGTAATTTTTCTCAGTATATTAAAATCAGTGGTACTACTCTATTGTTTTTACATAACTAACAAGAAGTTTATCTGCAGTCTGCATGACTGAATATCGCAAAAAATGGTATTAACAATGCACCCTTACTTGTAGACAAGATTCTTCTATTAGGTGAAATAAGTGGCAAACTTAATTAAATGTGAACTAAGTATACATAAGGATCGTAAGTTCTTGGTATTAAGATATTTTCATAAAACAACTAAGTATTCAAGTTTATGTATTTCTTTTCTCCCCTTTTTAAAATAAGCTGCTAACAGTGAATGGCTCAGGATGCATCCAGAATGTGGCTATAATCTCGTAAATTCTCCTCACCTGAAGCCAGCCTGGGTATTAGATAGAGCTCTCTGGCACTTGAGTTGTATGGTGGCTGGAGGAAAGTGTATTGATAAAGGAGTCCCTCCTTTAATCGAAAATGATCATCACCTGAATGTAAGTAAATAAGAAGTAAAAATATGTTAATAAACATGAAACAATGTTTAAGGGTTGTGATGATGTGCAAACCATGGTACATAATTTGCAGTATATACTATTTAGTAGAACAACTTTTATCCCAAGCATTTCTTTCCTTAAAAATAATATGAGCACTTAGTGTTTTTTGATCATGTTAATTAATCATCAAAATAATTTTTACTTTCACAGTGTATCCGTAAAATAATCTGGGAAGATATATATCCAAAAATTAGGCTGTGGGAATTTTTCCAAGTGGATGTTAACAAAGCTGTGCAGCAATTTAAAACCCTTCTAACTCAAGGTAAATTATATTGCCAAAGCATGTGAATTAATTTTTTATAATTATTTATCATGTTTCTTGAATTCCAGCGTATATAAAAGCTAGAAAACCAAATAACTCCATTATTTGATATGTGAGAAATCTGCAATGCTGAGTTAAATGCATGTAGATGCTCTGAGAACTAGTAAAGCTGTTGAGGACTTTGCTTAGAAAAAAGAGTTTAGTAGAAAGGAATATTTTTTTTTCTCCAAATGCAGTATTATAGTTGAGCACAGTTGTTTTTGAACAGCCAGCTCTGAGATACTAGTTTCTTTTCTCTTGCAAGCCTCTAAAACCCTTGTCTTCCTTATGCCAGAATAACAAATGTATTCTGTCTTTTAAAGTTATTTTATATTTTTATTTAATAATGACTTGTAAAATTTTGTCCTCAGGCAAAATGAGCACTAAATCTGATCCACATCAGCATCTTCAAGTAATTCAGGATCCTAACTATAGGCGACTTGGCTGTACTGTAGATATGGATATAGCACTGGCAACTTTTATCCCACACAGGTATTTATTACATTATTGGTTGCAAGTTAAAAGTAGAAATAAAGTTAAATTTGCAGAACGAAACAGGATAAAATTATATTCTGAAACATAAAAAATATATTTTCCCATACATTTTAATTTTGTGTATTTATTATGAAATGTTTTTAAATTACCTTTTCTAATTGTTCCCTGATATGATTTCTACCTGCCAAGCAATGGACCAGCTGCGATAGAAGAGTGTTGTAACTGGTTTCGCAAGAGAATTGAAGAACTGAATGCTGAACAATACAGACAAACTAATCACCATCAAGAGCAGGTCTTATAGTTGCTGTGTTTTAATGCTGACTTGTTTTAAATTGTGAATAAATGCCTTTTTTTTTTTTTTAATAATGCATAACTGTTTTATTTTTAGGCTGTCAACTGCCTTGCGGGGACTGTCGTTTATGAACGACTGGCTGGTCATGGTCCTAAACTGGGTCCTGTTACTAGAAAATATCCTTTAGTTACCAGGTATTACAACTTTTTTGTTAAATCCTATAGAGGGAAATTAATTTCAAAGCTCATTAGAACTAAAAATTCATAGGAGAAAAATCATACAAGTGCATGTTTCCTTTTTCATGTTCAATGGTCATTTAATGTATGAATTGAATATTTGCATAGTGATAGTAACTGATAAACGTGAATTTGGAGAGCATGGTAACAGTACTCGTGGCACATTGAAGCTTTACATATTGGCTTACTCTTGTAGGCGTGGGGGGGAGGAACTAGGAAAACTTCTGCCTTTCATATGTTATGTACCTGGTGATGCTTGTATATATGAGGGGTTGGGGTTTTATTTTTACACTATCAGCTGATGCTAAGATAGTGAAAACAACTGTCCTTCCTCCTTTGAGGCGTGTTGCGAAATAGAAAACTGTCCATCATTTATGGTCTAGGAGCTGCTTTTTATATCTGTTTGATCTAAAAGGCAGATTATAGCAGATAACTGCAATTCACTGCCTTTGAAATTAAGAGTATCTTGTATCTGTTTGTTTGGTTTGATTTGCTTTTTGCTTGTGTATTCCATAGATATTTTACTTACCCATTCAAAGACTTGAGTGTGGAGGAAGAAGAAACTATGATACATCAGCCAGATAAGGCTTGTTATTTCATGGCCCATAATGGCTGGGTAATGGGAGATGATCCTCTTAAAAACTTTGCTGAACCAGGTTTGTAAAGGAACTTCAAATTTTTTTAAAAAAATACTTTCATGCTGTTTTAGTGGAAAACTAATGCAGTAGTAAGGTGGATAGTGCTCTGCATCAGTGAGCAAGAGCTGGCTCCTGAAAGGTCCTGTGAATGCCGCAGGTGAAGGCACTGGAGTGGGGACCACATAAAGTGTTGTGGGGTGGGATAGGGAGGGACCAGGGGAGAGGCAGTGGTGAAGGAATAGGTCGCATCAGCTAACTGTTCTGCTGCACAACTGAGTGGAGTCTCTCACCTTGGCTGTATAGGTAGAACAGTTTTGATAATTGCACTGGCATTGCAAAATTGCTTGTAGTTATACTCCAAAGACAAAGCTATACAGATAAATTTCTAAACTATTAATTCTTAAATAGTACTTTTATGTTTGAAGTTTTTGAGTATGTGGGTGTGTGTGCTTTTTGGTTGTTTTGTTTTGTATTTTTTTTTTGAACTGTTTAGACACACTGGAGGGTGTAGAAGAGTACAAGCAAATACTTTCTGTGGGTTGTTTTAAGGATAGGAAGAGGGGTTTAGGATGGCTCAAAGTGACTCTTAAACTCACAACACTGCTACTGTTCAGCAGTGGAAAGTAAAGTATCACATCTTCATTTTGATGCATGATGCATTCTGTAGTTTTAATTATTTGCACTTACAGGCTCAAATGTTTATTTGAGGAGGGAGCTTATTTGTTGGGGAGACAGTGTGAAACTGCGTTATGGTGAAAAACCAGAAGATTGTCCTTACCTCTGGGCACATATGAAAAAGTACACTGAAATTACTGCCAAATATTTCCATGGTGTTCGTCTCGACAACTGTCACTCAACACCTATTCATGTAGCTGAGGTACGCAAGATTAAACACACTTATAATAAACCAGCTTCTGGCTATGAAATAAGTCCTGCACTGCTGCTACAAAATCTGCAGAATCCACATGGCAGAATTCTGATGTGAATGAAGCTGCCTCACAACCTAAAGCAGGTTTCTTGACTGTGAGGATGTTTAGACATGGTTTCAACTACTGTAAACAGCTAACAAAGATGCTAGAATGGAAATCATACCATTTAAAAGCTGGTAAAAAAAAATCTATGCAAAGAAAATTAATTTGAAATTGAGTAGTGCAGCTCACTAGTGGAGTGTCTTAGCTTAGTTACAGAAGATACTTACATCTATGAAGCGCACAGTTGATGAGGCTTATCTCAAAGCCAGGGATATTTTCACCTGTGTTTACTATCTATTGAATGATAACTTTGAAGACTTTGACTGAAGTCATGCAGAATTTTTTTACCTTAAAATGCATCTGTTTTATCCAACCTCTATTCTTGCACTTTGAGTTAGTTTTTTATTTTTGTGGTTGACTTAGTCTTTTAAGAATTTCCTAGAATAGTCAAACTGTAAATAACCTACAAAATACAAATGTTGTTTTATGAATGTTTTCTCTCTTCATTCTTTAATGCACTGCATATATTAGAGCTCATTTATGTTTTGCTTAACATTCATGTTAATGATTGCACATCCACAAGATTACAATGGACAACTTCCATTAAAAATGTGTTATGATCTATAGGAGATGCTAGCAACAGCCAGATCAGTCAGACCTAATCTTTATGTGATAGCTGAACTCTTCACGGGCAGTGAGTACATTGACAATATCTTTGTCAACCGCCTGGGAATTACCAGCTTGATTAGAGGTACAATAAGCAATTGAAAGTTGCGTAGGGTTATGTATGATTGGAGTTGTTAACATGAAACTAACGTTGGTATGCTTTTTTTTTTTCTTAAATATTTATCATCTTTGCTTATGCAATTATCTTTCTTCTTTCCTGTTCTTTTTAACTCTTTCTCTCTTATATCCTGATTTTTGATTTTTGCTTATATTTGTGTATCATTTTGTGTTTAATTTTTCCTTCTTGAGTTTTGGCTTTCTGATTCTTTGCTGCATGGCATTTTCCCTTTCTCCAATCCTGGCCTAGCTTTGAAATTTGTCCTATTTTGTGTCTACCTTTCCTCTTTTGTGGCTTTTTTGGCTGTGCTTTTTGCAGTACATGCTGGACACAGCTAGAAAATTGCGAGCTGATTTGTATGTAGTGGCTGAGCTGTTCACAGGAAGTGAGGAGCTGGACAATATCTTTGTGAATAGTCTGGGCATTGCCTCCTTAATAAGAGGTAGGCTTGCTGTGTATGTAGTTTTCTTTCCCACCAGAGATTGTAGATTATATGCTCTTTACAGAGAAAAGGTTCCTTCTGGTTATGCGCTTTGATTGCATTCAGTATGAAATTAGTAGGTACAGTTTATGTATTGTGACTTTTTTGTTACTCATCAACAAAGTACAGTATTAGCTGAAGTTTGAGAGGAGACAGCTTGTGTTAGTCTGGAGAAGGTTAAACATTTTACTAGCAAGAGAAAAGAAGTTTGAGCACACCTTTGCAAGTGCTATATCATGTGTCCTGCTAATTAATTTTTGTTGCATGAGTTTCTTAAAGCCTGTTAGGAACGTTTCTCAGATTTGTTTGCCTTTTTCCCCCCGTCCGTTTTTACATTAATACATTATAGCAAATAGCATACTTGCCGGTTGTGTATCCACATCAGAGAATAAAAGTAACACCTTCCCACCCACACACACCCCTTCCCTTCTTCCCATTACTGAACACACCAACATACAAATGTAAAATGTTGTGTTATTACCTCTGTGCATGCTCTCCTCTATGGTAGTTATTCTCATGCAGACACAGATTTTTTTCTTCAGAGGCCATGACTGCTTATAATAGTCATGAAGAGGGAAGATTAGTTTATCGTTTTGGAGGTGAACCTGTTGGCTCTTTTGTTCAGCCACGTTTGAGACCTCTGATGCCAGCTATTGCTCATGCACTGTTCATGGATATCACGCATGATAATGAATGTCCAATTCAGGTGAGCACTTCAGTTTAAGTGTTACATTTAATCTTTTCTAAACTGGTATTTTTGAACCCTGGCAGGGCTTCATGTAGTCCAGATTTGAAGTGGTATTTAGGAAGAATGTGGGTCATAACTTTAGGTTTTCATGCACGAACTAACGTTCTGTAACAATTCTAGCTGATTTTAACAATTTTCTCTTTCTAAGCAGAACAGTATATAGGTCTTGATAATAAAGAGCTGTTTTGATTCTTTCATTCCAGCTGTAAGTGGTTCTCTCTGTGTGTTCATCTGTTCTCCTTGGCTTTTGTCCTGCAGGAGAGAATGGGAGAGAGAATAGTGGGAATTAGAGTCCTTATTTTTGAGTCTTGCTCTTACATTGTTATATATTAAATATCTGTGGTATTTTTTTCAGTATCATGATTGAGAAAATGATGATTGTGTGATAATCAGTTCCTCTCTTAAATTCAGTGCATCTTCTATATGCATACTTACATTTGGGAGGGAATGAATTATATATTGATTCATTTTGTATCTATTTGTTTTTTGTTAACCTAGCATCGTTCTGCATATGATGCTCTTCCTAGTGCAATGATTGTTTCCATGGCGTGCTGTGCTACAGGAAGCACCAAAGGCTATGACGAATTAGTGCCCCACCAGGTCTGTAACTAAAATTAATTTCAAATATATTTTTTTAAATGCAAACTTTATTCTTGTCCTGGGAGATATGTATATGTGTGTGTATATAAGTTTATATATACAAACATATGTATATGTATCTAAATGTTTATTTTGGGTTCCAAGCAGTTGACTAGCCATCATTAATTTGGATTGTCTAATTTTACATGAAACCTGAATTGATTATGTATTTGGAGCCTCCAGATGATTTAGAGTTGCTCATATACATTTAAACATTAATTTCTTTACAGATTTCTGTGGTATCTGAGGAGAGGTTTTATTCAAAGTGGAATCCATCAACGCACCTGAGTTCTGGTGAAGTTAATTTGGAAACAGGAATTTTGGCAGGAAGGTTGGCTATAAACAGGCTGCATCAGGAGCTGGGAGCTAAAGCTTTTAATCAGGCAAGTGAGAATTGCACTGTATTTTCTCAGTATTTATTTTCTAAGTGAGCACAGCTGTTATGGTTTGTCTTTTCTAGGTGTATGTGGATCAAGTTGACGAAGATATAGTGGCAGTGACAAGACATTGTCCTAACACACACCAGTCTGTTGTGGCTGTAAGTCGAACTGCTTTCAGAGATCCTAAAACTTCCTTCTACAGTAAAGAAGTACCTGAAATGTGTATCCCAGGTAATCAGATTTATGCTTAAGAAATTGCAGATGTATAAAAAATTCAATTTATTCCAACCCCGTACTTTGCTTAAATTGATTTTATATGTTCGAATGATCATTGTGTAAAACACCTTTTAGATACATGTAGATTGTACATCTTAAATATCACAAGTATATAAAGAAAAAAATTGATTTAAATCCTTTAGGCTTTTTAAAGACACTTGTATTCTGAATACATTTCCTGCTTTGAGCTCCCCATGAAAATATACTGTTGTTTACTTTCCTCGCTGTGTACTGGTAAGAACTAACTGCAGAAAACGATTAATTTTCAGGGGAAGGAAAGTGAAATTATTATTTGTGGAATGTTATACCAGAAAAGGCAAATTCATGGTATTTATGGGTATCCTTATTCTTCAGCTTTCTTATCTGCAATATTTTTGAGTTTTAAAACACAGCTTAATAAGGTACAACATCATAGTGCATATGTTAGTATGCAGAAAAAAATCTATATGTAAATACAAAATAGATATATAAAATTATATAGGGAGTATTAATTCACTATGCAATGCTTTTTACAGTAATTTATAGTAGGAATGTATAGCAATTTGTACATTTCACCTGGTAATGTTTTCTGTGTTTTTAAGTATATCTAGTTTTGTGTGTGTGTGTATGTGTGCACATGCATTTTTGTTTTGAAGTGAGTCATGCTTGCATGCATGTTAAAACACAAATGGCTGTAAGATTTGTACCTTAGTTTGTAAATTATTGAAAGGATAGAGAAAATTAGGGTGTTTATATATGGACAGAGTTGTTTGAAAATAAAATATCTATCTGTATTTTGGAAGTCTTTCTAATACAGCGTCTGCTAAAAGGTCATAAAGAAGCCAATAGAGCTAATGATGAGTAAAAGACTTGTCCTAATTCAATCCATGATTAATTTCTTGAGTAATTTATTATGAAACAACAATACTGCAGTTTTAAATGCAAGTCGTGAATGTGTAATAAATGTTTATGGCTTGCTTATAGCACCTCTGCACATATTTTATCACATTTGCATGTTGTTAAGTTGTGCAGCTGAGAACTGTATTTTTCTGCCTCTTTTTGCTTCATATTGAGCTTTCATGTTGAAAGAATCATTTGCTTTCATGTTGAAAGAATCAATTTCTATGTAAAGTATTTTAACAACTACAATATGATTTGTTTAACTTTTTACAGGAAAAATTGAAGAAGTAGTATTTGAGGCTAGAATTGTTGAAAGATATGTTAGTCCTTACAAAAAAGACGAACATTTTATAAACGGATTGCCCAATTTCACGGTGGAACTCAGGGAACATATCCAGGTAATTAGACTCCTCCTTCTATGCTCCAATGTAGCATATTGTCATTTATGATGTTTCATATAAATTTCAGTTGTAAATATGTTTTCTTTTCTAAGATTAAAGACAGTAAAATTATAAAGCAAGCTGGAACTGCCATAAAAGGGCCAAATGAATATGTTCAAGAAATAGAATTTGAAAACTTAACTCCAGGAAGTGTAATAGTGTTCAGGTATGTTACATTAATTGCAAATGTTTTGTTCTAGTTAAAATAGAGCAATAGGATTTCGTGTTTTAAAGGCAGTGAAAACAGAACAATAGGATTTCTTGTTTGGGAAGTTATTGGAGGGACTAGGTTTCTGTAAGTCATGCATTTGTGTTTCAGAGTTAGCCTCGACCCAAAGGCACAAGAGGCTGTTGGTGTACTCCGCAATCATCTGATCCAGTTCAGTCCTCATTTTAAATCTGGAAGTCTTCCTGATGATCATTCGGCACCAATACTAGCAACTCTTTTTTCTTCGTAAGTTTTCCTTAAGTTTCTGAAATAGAACCATGAACATATGATGTAGCTTCAGCAGAAGTGAAGAACAGTATGTACATTTAGAGTGCTATTTTCATTACTGTAGATGGATCTGGATTGTTGGAGTGTAAATAACATTTAGATGCTCTTTATATGTATAATATTAAAAGGGGTCAATAGAAGCTTCTCAGATTCTGTTCAGGTTCTGTTTATTTGCTGCTTTAAATAGGTTTGCCAAGATAGGGTCTTTGTCAGTGTTGGGGTGTGTTTGTTAGGGATCAGTTCTTCATCTCTTAAGTCTCTATTCCTGTATACTCAAACCTCTGAGCAGAATCCCTTAGAAATGTGAGAAAGACTTTTAAATTTCCAAGATTGAAATGGTAAGTTGTGCATATTTAATTATTTTAACTAAAATATAAAACTAAACTAAATTAATATTTTTTTTTTCTTTTCTCTACTCTTTTTTTTCTCCCCAGTATTGCCTCTAAACTAACTCTGGCTGACCTAAATCAAGTACTATATAGATGTGAGGCAGAAGAACAAGAAGATGGTGGCGGTTGTTACAATATACCAAACTGGTCACCACTGAAGTATGCAGGTCTCCAAGGTAGTAATTGCAAGATGCTTAGCATGCTTTTTTTTTTCTTTTTTTTTTCCCTTCCTGTTGAGGAAAAAAGTTTCTCCGTCTCAACTTTAGTGCTGTTTTATGGCTTGTGGTACTGTTTCTTCTCTTGGGATTAAAAAAAATAATTGTTTCTGCTTAACCATGGTAGTCATTGTTATACCCTAAGGAATCAAACTGAGGCAGCATATTAAAACACCCTTTTTTCAATAGTCGAGAATGCAAGATAAGTTTCAAAATGTTCATCCTAACAGCAGTATTCTTCCATTTTAAAATAAAACAAAGTGCATCCAGTGAAAAATCACGTTATGTACTACCAGATTTCAGAAGAGTGTTATTTATGAAACATGAATTTCATTATGCTATTTAATCCACAATGGGAGATTTCGGTGACTGTCTTAAGGTTTCCTCAGAGGACATGTGATTCTGTGATTCTAAGTGAGTTGAATCTAACTGTCTCTGTCTCAATAGAAATAATACAATCAAATTAATGCTGCTATTGCTTTAGCTATTTACTTTGAAAATAGCAACTGCTGTTTGTGATAATTACTGTCCTATAATAGGGTTGGGTTTGTATCCTCAGGGTTAATGTCAGTGATGGCAGACATTAGACCAAAGAATGATTTGGGTCATCCATTTTGTGATAATTTAAGATCTGGAGACTGGATGATTGACTATGTCAGTAATCGTCTGATTTCGCGTGCGGGAGCCTGTGCAGAAGTGAGTAAAAAATATATGTTTTAAATTGCTTTCTTTTTCCTTTTCAATTTCCTCTATGTTCTTAAACATTCCAGGCTAACTGTAGTGTTATCATGTAATATATTCACACATGCTTTGTCATCTATAGAGCGTTTATCTGCATGGCTCGCATCTTTGGTGACAATGACTTTGTAGAAGATCGTTGTGTACCTCTAAACAGTACCAGAATTGAAAGAGATAAATATTTCTCAAATGTCAAATACTTGCTAGAGCCACAAAAACAGAGAAGCTCTGGATCCTGGAGTCCCAGACCCAGATCTGCAAGTGGCACAAGAGTGTATGACTCTAGCAGCTGTACATAATTTGGTTTTGTGATAGTTCTTTTAATCCCTTGGTTTCTCTATTTGATCCTGTCTCTTTTAGCAACCCAAAATCTATTTACCATGCTTGGTTCGTAATGTCAGCTTTGGAACTGCAATCTTACTGGGTTGTATAATTTGGATATGTAAACTATGATTAAATTAAGTGGATCCTCAGTACGTTTGCTTTTGAATCCTGGTGTTGTTAACATCTAATAATTTTATTATAATAGGTTGGTGAGTGGTTGAAGGCCATGTTTGTCTACTTGAAGAGAATTCCACGTTACCTTATCCCATGTTACTTTGATGCCATATTAGTGGGGGCATACACAACACTTCTGGATTTGGCATGGCATCAGATGTCCAGGTATGCTTGCAATAGTGGAGGTTTGTAGATACCTGTATTCATTACATCTTTTATATTTTATCTGTTGGAGAATGTATTTAGAATATTTTCATAAACATGTTGCCCAATGGAGAAGGATAATTTTGTAGTGAAAATCGGATACACCTTCTAGTGACAGTGGTTTAGAAGAGTGACAGCTCTGATATCTCGTGTGGGTTTGAATTTACAACCACTAGTGACAGTGCACAGTAGGAAGGTGAAAACTTCTCAGCCAGCCTTGATCTGCTGGGTTTAGCGAAAGCTCTTCAATCTCGAACCCTTATTACTGTTTTATGACTTCTTCCCTCTTCAGAGACTTACAGATTTACAAGTGCAAATGCTTTTTAAAGTCTGATGGCTCAGGGGAAATACCAGATTGTGCTTGATTCTGGTGCTGTGTTCAACACTTCTTTACGCAGTTAATACCTTCATTAACTGAGCACTTTGCTTAGTTAGCGAGGTCATTCTTTAATCTTCAATGCCCATTTCTGCTCTGTTTCTTGGAGAGGGAAGGGAGATAGATTTAATGGAGGTTTTATTCTAGTTATGAACCTTCTGAACAAGCTAGCATTGTTTTGAAAAAATAGAGGTGTCAAAACAGGCCAAGAGTTTGGTATGGCTGCAGTATCATTTGGAAATTAGTCTATTTCGCATGGGGGGAAAAGCTGTGTAGGCATCAAAGTTGAATAATTTCCTTACCCTTTTCTAGTAAAGTATTGAAGATCCAACACTTTCATTAGCATTAATAACTTAAAGTTTTAGGCGTAGCTTTGGGCAGCCATTTCTGAAAAAAATTCAAGAGAGACTTACAAATATGAGTGGGCATTCAAAATGGATTAATGCATAATATTCGTACTAACTAATTCTGTTTATTGAATTCGTATAAAATGTATAGAAGTCCCATGTTGCTGAATACGATGCTATTTTAATACAACTACATTGAATTACAGCTTTGTGCAGAATGGATCAACATTTGTTAAACACCTTGCACTGGGTTCAATCCAGATGTGCGGGATAGGAAGATACCCTTGCCTGCCAGTTCTCTCGCCTTCCTTACATGATGTTCCCTATCGGCTGAATGCAATTACACATGAGAAAGAACAGTGTTGTGTTTCCTTGGCAGCTGGTAAGTGAGGACAACATTAAATTTATAAATAACTAAGTCTTACAAAAATAGTAAAACTTACAAAATAGTTAAACTGTTTTCAATAACTGTTAAAATCATATCCATTATGGCTGGAGCCTAACCACTGTGTATAAATGCAAGTATCAGTACTCTTCATTCGTCCTCTATATTTGACTTTTCTTTAGGGTAACGGCTTGTCCATTTGAAAATGTGGAGGTTTTGCCTAGTCATGTTACCTGGGGGCACCTTATTGCTATTGTTCTTAAAGAAAGGCTTTTAAGTATTTTATTTAGTGATAGTTTTAACAGTATCTAATTATATCCTATATGGAGATCTATGTTCTCTTACATTCTGAATGATTTAGTTGATGATTCAGTTTATCTCCCAAAATAGATTTTCCTTGGGTTTCGTATGAATTTAAGAATTGAATTCTAATGGAGTATAATGATAAGTTTTCAGAAAAAAATGTGAGAGCTATCTTCAAAACCCGCTTTGATGCAGTCCTGTGCCACGTGCTCCAGGTGACTCTGTGTGTGCAGGGTGGTTGGACTAGATGACCTCTAGAGGTCCCTTCCAACCTTAAGCATTCTATGAACTACTGATAGTAGACCAGAATATCCTCTGATCTTCAAAAGAGGCGAACAGTGGATACTTAGAGCGTAAAGAGCATAAAAGCAGGGTCAGCATATAGTGATTATGCCTTAAATGTCCTGCCAGCATCTGACAGTCTCTCAAATGGGGACTTGCCTATGCCAAAACTATTATCTTCTGTATTTAGTATCTTGGAATGTGTGGGTGTGCAGTTTCCCACACCTCTCCGCAGGAGTTGACCTATTCGTTTTCTGAAACCCTGGACATTTTTGGCATGCACAGATTGTAGGAACTTTGTCTCATAGTGGTCTTTAATTTTCTTTTTGTTCTCTGACTTTGTCACGGAGAAAGAAAATGTTTTTTAGTTACATTCCATTTGCCTATTTTGCTGTTGCCTAGAAGTTTGGAATGAGCATTGTTCCCTTAATTTAAATGTAGATTTTAATTAAACTAAAGGGTTTGGGTTTGATAGTCCTGTCACATACTTGCTAGTTTCCTCTGAGATTTTTAACTCTTACATAGATTGTTGTTTCATAAACACTTTAGGCAAATTTGTGCGTAAAAATTTTGTTCTAGCAAGCATGCATGGCAAGTTTTTGTTTTAAAACTACCATGTGGAAATTTTTCTTTTTTAGATTGAAAAGCTTTAATAAATTGAGGGGGGAAAAAAAATCAAAGATGGACTTTGTAGCGTTTACTATGCTTTTACAGTCAGAATCTTTCTAATAATTACAAGTTATATTGTTTCTCTTAAAATGTAGTTCTTAAAAGCTGATGGGAAAAGAGAACCATGATTCCCTCTGTAGTAGGTGAAAATGTTATTATTTTGAAGAGATTAACTGTCCAGTTATAGCCTTTATGTGCTATTCAAATGGCATAGCTCTATTATGTAAATTTTTACCAAAAACCTGTAATACATCTTGTCTTAGTTATAGTTTTTTTATTATTAAAGGGGTGACGTTCAGTTAATGTATTTTAATCAAAAAAAATATAAATTCTGCTTGATTATTTTGAATTTTTATATAGATAATTGTTCTAAATATGTGGAGTTTTATTTCTTATTAAGAAGAATATCTAGAAATCAGCTCGTTTATATAGAGTCACACATGGATTACTTCTGTTATTTTTTAACTTCTTTGCTTGGTTTGTACCTAAAAATGAGTTTGGAGAATTTGACCATTCCAATAAATGAGTTGGACAGTGACATTTCTGACATTTCTTCCTAGGCTTACCTCACTTTTCTTCTGGAATTTTTCGCTCTTGGGGAAGGGATACCTTTATTGCACTGAGAGGTCTAATGTTACTTACTGGACGTTATCTAGAAGCAAGGTGAGATTGTCTCACTCTGTTCCTGCTGTTGTCCGAAATCATTCTGCAGGTGTTAATGTAGTTAGGAGAAAGTCATGCTCATAACACCACTGCTTGTCCTTGCAAAAACTGATGTTTCTAGTATGTACTTATGTCATTGCTGTTGAGCAATAATTTAGAAATTATTATTATATGAATTTGAGTTATAATTTTTCCTCAGAAATGCAAGATTGCATATGTATCCTGAAATTTTGGCAACTACTACTATTTGTTCAGTACTAGAGCTTGGCGAACTCTACGTTGTTATAATCTGATATCTTTATAAATGTTTAATCTGCTAATTGAGCAAATAAAATATGAGCCAGCCTTCTTAACTTGATAGTTATACTAATCTTTAAATTTAGATGGAGTTTTCCACAACATATAAAGATAAAAATGAGTTGATTTATATCTACATGGCAGTCTATAAAAAAAGCAAGGTACCTTTTCCATAGTAGCAAATATTGCACTTTTTGTGAAACAAACTGATTTAAATGTATTAACATTGCAGGTTTTGAGGGTGTTAAAAATATCATTTTATTGTAAATATAGCTCATGCTAAACGAAGTCATTTGTAGCTTTAAACATACTTGACTTGCCTTGGTGTTAAAATATACTTGTACTTTGTGGTTGTTCGGAATAATAATGGCCTTATAACTAACTTAAGGCTGTATTATTTTTCTTTCCTTCTAGAAACATAATTTTAGCATTTGGTGAGACTTTAAGACATGGTCTCATTCCAAATCTTCTTGGCCAGGGAACACATGCCAGATTCAACTGTCGTGATGCCGTGTGGTGGTGGCTTCAGTGTATCCAAGATTATTGCAAAATTGCTCCAAATGGATTAGACATTCTCAAGTGTCCTGTTTCTAGGATGTATCCAAGAGATGACTCTCCTCCTCAGCCTGCAGGCACTATGGTAAAGATTAATTAAAGTTTTTAAAAACCTTTAACACAACTATACATTTTTAGTAGAAGGATGTAATGTTTTAGCAACAAGAACCTGTTTGCTATGTGTTATTTAAGGTTGAAGGATGTTTATAGAGTAAGAATTTTGTATTTTCTCTTTGAGGTCTTTCTCATTGTGTCTGCATTACTTTTTAGTCAAGTGCGAATTAGGGTGGGGAGATTAGGGATGAAGAAAGAAAAATGCCATTGGCTTTTCTTCCAAAACTTTGCTTTACTTTTTATCTTGAGAAAAAGGTGTACGCTAAAAATTCGCAGAAAGCATATCCCATTGCAGTTGACAGAGGCGGTACCTGAGAATGCTAGATGCTTTTCTTTTGAAGTAGCATAAAATAAAATTTAAGAATTTATTGCTGTTTGCGCATTTGATAGAGCCTTTCTGCTTTTTTTACACTTTGCCTTTCCTATGTCACCCATATCATGCAATCAATCTAGGATCAGCCGCTTTATGAAGTAATACAGGAAGCAATGCAACGACACATGGAAGGCATAAATTTCCGGGAAAGGAATGCTGGTCCGCAGATAGATCAAAACATGAGAGATGAAGGTAACAAATATTTAGAACACTGGATATGGATTTCAGAAGATGATTATTTTATCTTCTCCATCTGCTGACTTTTTTTTGAGGGAAAAAAAAAAAAAGCTTCTCTAAAGCAGTATTACTGTAAATATACTTGATGTAGACCCACCTCAGATTTTTTGGGGGGGAGAGGAGGGGGATGAAGGGGAGAGAGGGGAAGTCTTTTAGTTAGGAGGTTTGGGTAGGTTTGCATGGGAGTTTTGAGGAGTTTTGTTCATTTTGTTTTGTTTAATATGTAGATTTCACATGTTATGTTCTTTCTTGGCAGGTTTTAATGTAGTTGCAGGCGTTGACCATGAAACTGGCTTTGTCTTTGGAGGAAACCGTTTCAATTGTGGCACTTGGATGGATAAAATGGGAGAGAGCGATAGAGCTCGGAACAAAGGAATACCTGCTACTCCAAGGTACAAAATCCAAGCTTTTTTTTTTTTTAGTGAAATTCTGCGGAAGTATTTTGAACTCTGCTAACACATCAGATATGTTCTCTCGAATGTGCTAAATAGTTTTGCAATCATTTGACTAATAAAAAGTTAATTTCAACATTATGTTTTTTGCTCATCTGAAGAGAAAATGTGCTGAAAAAACCTTCTCAGTTGTTGACGTAGACTTAGCTCTGCATGCAGAATCAGCTTTTGAATCAAGTATTAAAGCATAACTTAATTCATACTTGTACCACATTACTAGGAAATGACTATAGATTACCAAGAAAAGACTTAATAAGGTTCTATAGCAGATGTCAATTGATAATTGTTGTGTAGTCAGAATATTTCCTATTAGGAATTCAAAAATATCTACATCTACTTAAGATTAAAGTCAAGATTAAGTATTTTTAAAATAAACTTTTTGCTAAATGCTAGTGAACTGCTGCCCTTACTCTGGTGTCAGCTTGATGATCAGTTTTATATCAACTGCTAATTGAGAGTGAGAACCAAAAAGAAAATGCATCGTTTGACTTTTGAACATATCAATTGAGAACCAAGAGAGGTCAATGGACCCACCCTAATGAGGCTAAGCTTCAGTGCCTGAAAAGCATGCTTTAACCTGTCTCTTTTTAGTATTCTGTTTGATGAAAATGATGTTGTCACGCAGAGAAAGTGCTAGAAAAGACATGGAAATGCGTGTGCTAAGTACTTAATGGACCTGCTATGAAATTTACAGATAAATAATTAGCTTTTTTTAATCAGGTAGGGTGTAGGCAGTAATAAGTAATGGGAAAAATGCAATTTCTAAATACACTGACAGCTGGGGAAAATGCAGGTAAAACTTATATAACAAATAATTCCTAAATAATTCTTGACTTTTTTTTTAATGATTATCCTAGAGATGGCTCTGCTGTGGAAATTGTTGGTCTATGCAAGTCAACTGTTCGCTGGTTGCAAGATTTGTTTAAGAAAAATGTGTTTCCATATGATGGAGTCACCATAAGACGACATGGTAAAGAGGCAGATCTCATAACTGTTTAAACAGAATATGAAAATAAATGAAATGGTGAAATACTGGCTATGTAACATCAGAGATGATTATCAAACCACTCTAAAATGTTTAGGAGGAGAGAAACTTAGGGGAATATCTTATATATCTTATAAAATCGGGGGGTTAGACTAGATGACCTTGAGGTCCTACCCAGCTTCAATCATTCTGTGACTAAAATATTTCTTAGAAAAAGAGACTTTTAATAGTCGTATTGTCTTGCCGTTGTTACATGTGCTTTATTCCATATTAAGTTTCGTGTTCATAAAAATTTGGGAGCCCAATACCACTTCTCAAGTCAATCTCAGTGATAGGATTACACTTACAATGCAGGAATGAATATACAGGCTGAAGCTGTTTTAGTGCTTAGTAAAGATAATGTTTGGAAACAATCATTCTTTTTACTCAGTTTCTATTCATACTGTCTCTTATAAATGTATAGATTTACATTTTTTACTTTAACATATATAGATTTTACGTATAAATTTACATATTGAATTTATATTTAATATGCATTAATTTTTAATGTATATATTATATATAAAAATAGTTCTTAGTATTTCTTTTTTTTTTTCCTTTGCCTACCACTTTTCAATTTTGGTAGTATGGTTTGTTTTGTGACTTATTTATTGAGGAAAAAGCAAGTAATACTCTTATCTACTTAATACAAAACTAAGGCTTTCTTCAAAGTCATTGCTATTCTAAGGTCTATGCACAGCTTAGGAGGAAATCTCTAGCACAATTTCACTAATGAAAATATTCTAAAGAAATGTAGATGAATTCAAAGTAAAATTTAGATGAATTCAAAATATTCTGAAATAAACATGCAGTTTTCTTTTGCTAATAGCATTTCTAATTTAAATTACCAATAGTGGTTGTAAGATAAATAATACTTTTTTAAAAATTTCACATTCCAAGCTATTTGGTTCCTTTATATATAGAAGCATTTTGCTGTCTATCTGCTTTCCTAACAACTTGTAGGTAATAACTTTTTGTAATGCTACTCTGGCCTTCATTAGGCAAAACTGTAGAATGGGACTTAAGCTCAGCCTTCGTGCTACCAGAGGTACCACATCTACCACTGTGGCTCTTTCCAAACATAAAACCTGTTTGCAATGTATTGTATTGCAGGAAAGAAGGAGACTATCACATATGATGAGTGGAACAGAAAAATTCAAGGACACTTTGAAAGGTTGTTTTTCGTCTCTGAGAACCCAGCAGATCCAAATGAGAAACATCCAAATCTTGTCCACAAACGTGGAATTTATAAAGATAGCTATGGAGCTTCGAGCCCATGGTGCGATTACCAACTCAGGCCAAATTTCACAATAGCAATGGTTGTGGTAAGTGATACTTTCTGTATTGATCGCTCTTAGAACATCCCCTAAAATACAGCCTCTGATAGACCCTGACTGTATGTGACAGGGTTTGTAATGTGTTCTAAGGTGTGATTTGGGTTCTCCCCTGTCCCAGATTAGTTTAAAAAAAGCTTCGAGTATTTTGTGTTTGTTTTGGTTTTGTGTTTGTTTTGGTTTTGTGTTTTCATCTCTTTATAGGGCTTCTTTAAGAGATTAAATATACTTAGCAAAAATGCTGAATCAAGAAAAAAAAGAAATATCACACAGTGACTATCTGCTGTTGTCTTATTTTCTCTGGCTTATGTGTGCTAGAAAGGCAACAGAAAATATATAAATGAATTTTGACTTGGAAATGCAATTTTTGTGTGTAGGGTTGTCTGTTTTGTTTTTATTTTTTCATATAAGCAGTCTTATGTTTGCACATGTAGTGTTTACTAATTAAATCTCAATTAATTTATTAGGCCCCTGAGCTGTTCACACCTCAGAAAGCTTGGAAAGCTCTGCAAATAGCTGAGGAAAAGCTACTTGGTCCATTAGGCATGAAAACTTTAGACCCTGAGTAAGTATAGTAGATATAAGAACCGTGTGTTAATCACACAACTAGACAACAGAAATTATCTAATGATTGGTGGCAATTTGATTTTGTGATAAATACTTCAGGACTATTCTAGAAGTTTGGTGTTCTGAAAGTTCGTTCAATTTACTTACATATAAATCACTAGGTGTTCATGAATTCCGCATAGCAAGCACGTCAAATTTGGTATTATACAAGATGCTGAATTTTAGTTTAATACATACTTACATATATGAAATTGTATACATGGCTACAGTATGAATAAAAGGAATAAGACAAAATTATGAGTACAGGTCATTCCAAGATTTCCACTAGCTTATTATTGTATTTGAAATTCTGTTTTCATGTAAAATGCACAACTTGATTGATGTGCATAAAGTAACCCTCAAAAAATGTAAATGCCATAATTACAGCGAATATTTGACTCATTTCTGTGTTCAGATACTTGTTTAATTTGTCTTAATAATGCTTTACATTTTTATTTCTTGCAGTGATATGGTTTACTGTGGCATATATGATAATGCTCTTGACAATGACAACTATAATGTAGCCAGAGGATTTAATTACCACCAAGGACCTGTAAGAGTCTGTTTTCTTCCATCTCAGAAAAAAATGTCACTTTTTCAAACCAGCAGCTGTAATAATCCTCTGTTATCATTCTTTGCTTAGGAGTGGGTGTGGCCTATTGGATACTTTCTTCGTGCCAAACTGTACTTCTCAAAATTGATTGGTCCGGAGATTTACGCAAAAACTGTACTTTTGATTAAAAATGTTCTTTCTCGCCACTATGTTCATCTTGAAAGGTAGGACAATAACTAACGTGTATTCAACATGTTCTTTCAAATTTGTGATATCCAGTAAACTACTTCATGTTAAAAAGAACACATTTTTAATATAAATAGCATCTATTTTCTACATACAGAGCTCACTACTGTATGGACTATTGCATAACTCACACTTTAAGTACTGCTGAAATCTAATGCTTTTTAGATTTTTGAATTAGTAATGTTCATGCATGTGAAAAATACAGAAAATCAAATTTGGAAGTCTAATTTCCTACCAAAAAGTGATTTTCAGAAAGTGTTATGTGTATCTTTGAAATATTTTAACTATTAAAACAACCTGCAAAGCAAAACAGGGAAAAGGCTAGTAGTGACAGCTTAAAACTATGACAGGTAAGTTTATGCAAAATGTTGTTAGGATTTCATGTGTTATAAATGAGCAAGTTAGCAGGACTTTTTCAGAATCTTAATAGTTAATTATTCAAATAAGACAGAGGAACTTGTTATAGTAAGGCTTGTAGGGTCCTTCCTAAATGTTCTTCTGCATTTTGATTTTTCCCCTTTAAAACAATTTTTTTTCTCTATTTGCCTTCTATTATATTCACTTGACAAAACAAAGATACTCTGCTTGGCACCTCTTTCATATGCTCTGTATACTGTTCTACGATTACTAACCTCAGCACTTCATATTTGAAGTTCATGCATGTGTTTATTTGTACCTATATGAGTAACTTTTAGCACTATTGCCAAGTTTCAGGTGGTTGAAATACCAGTTATCACAAACATCATAGTTTTGCAGCTGGAAGAACCCATCTCATTAGAAAATAGGAGTTATATTCCAGTTGCAAAAAGAGTGTAGCTTATGTGTTAATAGTATCAGAGTCCACTTTGAGGGAAAAGTATCCACAGAAATAACTACACTTTCCAGTTGCTGGAAAAAAAAGAATGAAAACTCAACTATTGCATGCCATATTGGGTCTGTATGGGAAAAAGGTCTTTTATTTGCAGTGTTCTGCTTCCTACTGAGATTGTCATCTGAAAGGTTTTGTAATAAAGTCGTCTTTTAATTTTGGCATGCAATCTAACAGTAATATTTCATTTTTCTTTAATCAGATCATCCTGGAAGGGGCTTCCGGAGCTGACCAATGAAAATGGCCAGTATTGTCCTTTTAGCTGTGAGAGTCAGGCCTGGTCGATTGCTGCTATCCTTGAAGTCCTATACGACTTGTAAAAGTTGCTTTTGATTGCTTTGAAACTTATGCAGTTTTTTCCATATGGGGCATAAATGAACTCTTGGATCACACTGCAAGGGAAACGTCCTGTTCTGCACAATCACTTAAGCTGTGTACCGAATTTTAAAGGTGCTGAATGCCAACAGCTCCTTGCATTAGACCTGTGCAGTTTTGGTGGGAGTTGGTTTTTTTTGAAAATCTGGCCATGACAATAAAAAAAAGCTGCAGCACACACTTCATGCAGGAACTTTTAGAAAAGAGATTTTTAGGAATATGCACAAGCTTGCTTTGGTTTTTAGAGTTTCCAAATTAAAATCTTATATGTAACAGGCAGGATGGTTGTTTCCCAGGCTAAAAATATGAAAAAGAGGTCTTTCAAGCTAGCACTAGTGATGCTTTTTTTTCATTTGTCTGTTCAAAAGTAAAGCAATATTTTGCACACACATGCTTAAAGTGAATAGACTAACCTGTAAGTCTGATTTCAGTATGCTTTGTGCTACAGCATCATAGACTGATGAAGGCAGAATATGTTTGTTGTTGAACTGTGTTGGGAGGGGATTTTGTATATGTTCAATTGAATGCTGTATTAGGTAACCAGAAAAATAAAGTTTAAGAATACTGTAGTAAATTAACCTTACTTTAAATTGCTCTGAGAGTTATAACTATTGAGCAATGATAGAGTAATATCCCATCTTCATGCACTTATAAATTTATGTAAATATTATGGGCCATGCAGTCAATTTATTTCTTCACTTAATTTTGTTTTTTATGATGAGGAAATCAGAAGGAACATGTACATGTAGTATGAAGCCTATATATTAGAGGAGGTAAAAGGTCCAGAAGCCAAATATTCTTGGCTTAACTTCTATTAATTTATCAAAGACACATGGTTGCCTCAGTCATTTATCCATAGCAAAATCCTGACTCTGTTGAAGCAGGTGGAAATAATTCTCTTAACTTCAGTGGGAAAAGGAATTCTCTTAAATCCACAGTGAAGAGATGAGGTTTGTAGGCCTTCTGAACTTAGATGCTAAAAGTGTGTGTAGTTCTTTGGGAATGGCATTCAGGTAAAATACCTATGTTCTTTTAGTTTTTAAATACGTAAGAGCATAGACCTAATTACAATTCATTGTTCCCAAACTGAGGGGTAGTTGTTGGGAACGCATTTTTAATTCCCAACTCTATCCATTTAAATCTTCTATCTTAGAGCAATAAATAGGAAGAAAGCAAGGTTGAAAAATAACTTTTTCAGCATCGCACTGAGGTGGGGCAGGAGAAGGTGGCAAGACTGATGGTTCATTTTTTAATGCTAAACCACATACGCTGAAAACAAAAACCTGACCTATATGTTATTAGTTGGCTACAATTACAGGCTGTGTATATTTTATTACATTTATATTTTTAGAAATTCCTTTAGCCTATTTAAAGTCTAGTGCAAGTGTGCTACCTTATTCAGGGAAATGTATTTTGGATATACTTAAGGGCAAGTTAATAGGCTGAAGACAGAACTGTAAGAAGTGGCCACGCACTGTTTATTTGAAAGATTAATGGTAAACTTAAGTGTCTGAACTCTCTTGTTAGAGTGTTCAACACTTAAAAGCTACAGTTAAGGGCAATGCATATTTCACCTCATGTTTTGAGCTGCTCTAGCAGATGGCTTGGGAAACTTGCTTTCTTACTTAACAGAATGGAGATGATATGCCATTTAATCAAAAACTTTGCCTAAATGTCATCAGCAGATTGTGGAGTTTTTTTTAATGCTTTTTGTGCATTAAAAATAAATGCCCTGAATCTTTCCAAATTCTTGATATTGAGGTTTATGTCCCACAATATCACTAGTTACCTATTATTTTCTTAGACAATTATTTCTAGTTTCCTATTTCAAGGTACATTTTATTGCTAATATGATTTAGAAATTGGGAAGAATATGGTAGAAGAAATTGTGCTTATTTATTTGAAAATTATTTTAATTTAAAAGTGGAGCCAAAAACTATCACCTTTGAAATATTTCCCCTAGATGTCCACTTCTATGCCCTGACAGTAATACTTTCATTATTGAAAAATCTGGGACAAATTATTAAAATCTCCCTGCTTTATCATGGATAACTTCTGACACTGCACAGCAGATGCAGAGTACGTATTCGCCACAGCTAGTTTATTTTTTTACCTTTATAACATTTAAAAACAGATCATATGTGTTTACACAAATACATGTTACGAATTTCTTAAACATAAGCACGCCCACGTTGCTTCTGCGCCGATCAGCTACACTGCATTTATAATGGATGAATGCTTGGTTGACTGTAGCAATGAAAGTAAGATTCAAGGTTCAACTGTTGTGGGATTTTCTTAATCACAAATCTATTCAATGCTTTTAGTCAAGCTGTACAATTTAAAAAGAAAAAAAAAGGGAAGGAAAGGAGAACGGTGTTTAGATTTAACATTTTAAGAGCTGATAGTCATCTAGTATCGTAATCCCCTAAAAAGATGACTATCTTTCGAAATCTTGATCCTGAACTGTATTTTCATTTATTACTATCATTTATATTGCTCAGAATATAAATACAGTTTTCTGTAAAATATTTTTGTAAGCAAACAAAGAAGTAAGAACTGTGGCTCCACTGTGTTGTACAGCTGTTTCTTTACTTGTTTCTTGTGCTCAGTTGAAATAGATGCACTGTTTTTATTCAGTAAATAACTGAATTCAGATACCACTAACTTGAGAATAGAAGTAAAATAATGTATCATTCTAGCACTGCATGTTGAAATGTAAAAGGGAAAGACTTGCATAATTTTACGTGTCTAGCACGCAACTACTGATTTTATTTCATTATTTCTGAACTGCACAAAATAAAATTATTTCATGCAATAAAAGTTAATGTTTTTTTTTTCATTGTAGCTTAAAGGAAAGCTAAGTGTTACATGAAGGATTGTGCTAATTTGCAGTTTTATACATGTTAGAAAGCCGAGTGGGGACTCCTTGGGTCAACTCCTAACAGGTATTGCCAACAGTAATCAGCTCTTAAAAATGCCACAGAATTATGAGTTACAAAATAACTTTTTAGTAGTTCTAATTTTAAATCATAGTGTTACCAATCCCCAAGGAAGGCAGCAGTCCTAACAACTGCCACAGCCTTAAGTAACTTTCTGCAAGCAATTTCAAGGACATGATAAATTCATACCTCGCTCACCATCTTTAATTCCAGCTCTACATAGGGCTCTTCAGTACCAAATATGAGGTTGCATGCTACATTTTCTCAACTCAGACACGGAGGACATTTTGCATTAAACCTTATGGCTATGTTACTACTTCCTGTTCTCTATCAATATCATCCCCATGTCATCTGCATCTTGGGGCCTGCAGCAAAGGCTCTTGGTGGGGAAACGGAGAGTATTTCAGTGTTTCAGAACTCCTATTTCCTTGCTCAGAAGATGTTTTTGTTTTCTCCTACCCTGTACAGTTTGTGACTGCATTACAGATTACAGCTGGCAGATGAGAAACAGGGGTAGACTGTGCTAGGTCCATTGGAAATAGTTCATTTTGCCCTGAGATACTTTTCACGGATGCCCTTGCTGCTTGTAAGACAATTGAATTTAATTAGCCTGTGAAGTTTACCAGAAACCCATTGCTTATTTGACACAGAAACTGTTCAAATAGCAGAACCTTTGTAGGCTTTAGCTTTATGCATATATGAAGATAGATAATAGATACAAAGAGTGTTTTAGAGGTAAGCCTTACACTGACATTAATTGCAGTTTACTACTTTGAGCTAGACAAGGGTTTTTTGTGCACTGTTTCCTAAAAATAGAGCTTCATCCCATAGATGGTTTTGTGATATGTTAGCATGTCTTTGTTTTGTTAGAACTGCATTTCATACATTTAAGTCCTCTACTGAAGTGCCTTAGAAAAGTCATTCTTGTTATCCTACTGTGCAATATTTTTAAACTCCATCACCTATAGCAGAAGTGCTGAAATGACATTTCCCTGACCAGCTATTTCCAAGCTGAGGAGGAGCTGCTACCGGACAGCTGCTGCGAGTGTGAAAGCCCCTGTTGTGTCAGAAAGGCGTCCAAGAAAAAGCAGATGAAATGTGGTTACTAGGCCCGATTTCCACTGAAAACTCCCATTTCGTTTGAAAGTACCAATTCAGGAAATGTGTTAGTGGGAAAATTTTGAGTCCCTTCATGGGTCACTGTGAGGTGGCAGGAGGGGCGCTGCGTGGCTGCCGGCTGGGCCTGAGGGGACGAGGCCTGTCCAGCGCTGGAGCGGGAGTAGTTGCTCTGTGAGGGGTGACAGTCAGGTACAGAAATATGCAAGCGTCTGTTGAGCAGCAGCGCCTTGCTGGCCAGGGTGCCTTTTGTGGTGGCTGCACTACAAATCCATGAGGAAACAGGTGAAACTCGTCTGGCAGTAAATTGTTTTTAATGTGCCTTTAAAGTATGAGGAGAAGGAAGGTGTGCTGGATGGTGAATGTTTGGGTTGTTAAGCAGCCTTGGGAACTTTGTGGTGCTGCAGAGCTCATGGGCAGTTCCTCAGCGCGCTGGTTGAGGTGCTTCCCTGAAGGCACTCCCCTGAACTGAGAGGGAGCTTCCTAGGCCTGAGCCAGGAAGCTGCCCTTGTACAGAGTCGTCTCTTTTAAGAGGAGCAAGTGTCTACTTAAATGTTTATTGTCTGCTGTCTAAATGTTCAAATGTCCATTTAAAATGTTAAATAAATAAATAAGATCATGGTTTCACACAGGCAAATTCCGAAGCAAAAAAAAAAAAGAGAAAGCATGCAAGCTTGCCAGCAGTTGGTGACAGGAAGATCAGTCTGAAATAAATATGGAAAAAGATAAATGGAGATTTTTGTTATTAGTGAGGGATGCTGTTAGTCATCTTTGCTGGTGCAGCCCCTTGAGTTTTGGTGGGCCCTTGCTTGTCCCAGATTCTTGTCTTGATGTCTTTGCCTCACTGCATAATGCCTGTTCTTTGAGGAATCCTTTTCTTTAGCAATGTTTTACCTCACTGCTGTGTATCTGCGCTATCTACAGCGCTTCATCCACAGATGACCATGGACCCTGTACAATAACCTCAGCATACTAATCTCTCAGTTTAACTGTTGTTTTATAGTATTACATCCAAGGACAGCTTGCAGGATTTTGAGAGGCTACTGTATACATTTTGTGGACGTGTGTGGATGGTTGGTTTAAACATTGTG